TCAGCGGCAAAAGCGCCTGCCTGGCAAGCGCAAGGTCGTGAGTTCGGTTCCCGGTACCGGAGAAAAAAAAAAAAAAAAAAAAAAAAAAAAGAGAAACTGAACATACAGAAGAGCCAACGACAGAAAACTGGAGTTAAGAAAACAAAAATACGGCTGAGGATGTAGGCCAGTGGTAGAGTGCCTGGCTAGCCCGCGCGAGGCATTAAGTTTGATCCCCAGCACTATAATTAATCAATCAATCAAAAATTAGTTAACATTTTATCTCTGTTGGGAAAGTATTCTGCAGCTATTATATCTGAGCACTCAAATCAATCCAAAGGTCATATTGAAGAGCTTTAATAGTTTATGGGATCAGATGAAGCACATTTGATAGAAACATACCATGCCTGAGCTATGTGAGAAGACTCTATAACATGGTATCATGAAAAAAAAATTAAATATTAGGCACAAATTAGAGCTTAAAAAGAATATTAGACCATTAAAATATCCTCATTTGCTCTTAATGAGCCATTCATATATAATCCAGTTTTTCCAATATATAATAAAGTAATTGCATAATATGGAAGAAAAGTGTATAGAGTTTAAGATTGTTCTTGCTTAATACATTCTGAAAAACTTGCTATCATTTCTGGTTTGTAGCACATACTTTGGAAACCATTACTAAAACAGAACTGACTTACTCATAGTAAATGTGGCCTGGAAGCCCATGCTATTGTATGAGCCGTCTGAGACAAATCTGATCCACAGATGACCCTCTGCAATAAATGAGTAATTGTGGGGTAGGGAACTTCCACAGTATCTTCCCAGCAAGTGACCAGTGGCACCCCCTTCTCGGATCTCCATAAAATCTTTGCTACAGTTCTGAGAGTCCTCCAACTGAAAAGATCTGATTTGGAAAGAAAAAAAGTAGTTAATAGGGATAAAACTGATAGAATAAATTTTAGGGTTAGCCTGAATCATATGCCTGATTAACCTGGTCATTCTTTAAAAATTTTTTAAACTTTGATCAACAGATTCCTTACCTATGTTAAAAAAAAAAAATTGTGGAAATCCCTAGGCAAAAGATACAAAGTATACTGCTTTCAAGGAGTATTCTTCTTGGTGGGACAGACTGGGTAAAAATACAGATAAAATAAAAGGTATGATATGAGTGCAATTGAGGTATAAAGTGCCATAAGAAGTGGGTGAGGCTGTAGCTCAGTGGTAGAGCACATGCTTAATTTACCATGAACAAGGCCCTGGGTTCAATTCTCAGAATCAAATAAATAAACATAAGAGCATGAACATTTGAGCAGAAGTATATCTAAATGTGGGGTTCAGTAATAATTTGGAGAGATTTTGGAGATTAAAGTCTGAGCATTCCTTGGTTAGGAAGCATGGGCTATGGGGAAAGAACGCACACCCACAAAGGCTCAAGTGCAGACAAGGGTGAGGCTCACTGAGGAACTTGTGGGACATTTAGTTTGGCTAGAACCACAAAAGCATCCAGAGACAGATACAGCTGGAGCAGTGCTATGGGAGAATTTTAAGTGCCACGGAAAGGCATGCGCAACTTGATTTCTGGAAAGAGAGAAAAATTATGAGATTTGCAATAATACAGGCTGGTGTACACATGTGGCCTCTTCAGCTTCTCTCATGCTATGCAACTGTGAGGCGACGGGGGTTGAGAAAATGTGTACCTCATGGTTTTCATAAGACACGGGGATGAAGAGTGGAACAGGTAGGTGCGAAGTGAATGCCTTTCAAAACTCTTTCTGATTGTTTAAAGATAATCAGGATAATGTGGTATTGGTATAAGGGTAGATAAAGAGATGAGTGAGACAGAAGAGAAAGTTCAGAAGAGGGTCCACAAATACACAGTCAGTACAATGCAGTACAAAATGGCAGGATAATTCAATGAGGAAGATGGTACCTCAACAGCAAGGGGTAGGGGAGGAGAGAAGAGGGGAGGGGAGGGAAGGGGAGAGGAGGGGAGGGGAGAGGAGCAAGAGAAAGAGAGACAAAGACAGGAGAGAGAGAAACAGTCTCAATTCCTGTTTCTTAATGCACAGAAATTAATATTTCTTATAGAGGTAAACATAAATGTAGAACCATAAAACTCCTAGGAGAAAACAAAAGACTATCATTGCAACCTTAGTATAGGCAAGTATTTCTAAGATAAAATGCAAAAAGTACTAGTCATAAGATAAAGAATTAATAAATTTGACTCCATTAAAATTTTCTCATCATTAAGAATGTAAACAAGAATTAATAGGCAACTCACAGACTGGGACAAGTTAGAGGAGAAAACTGCAAAGTGTGTATCTAACAAGGAACCCATAGCTGAAATATAGAAGAAATTCCTACAAACAAGTTTAAAATGGACAAAAAATTTGAAATAAGGGAAAATGAATGACCAGTGAGGTGAAAATTATTCTACATGATTAGTCATCAGAGTAATTCATGTTAAGTACCACAATAAGATATTATTTCACATCCATCTGAATGGCTACAATAAAAAAAAAGATGGACAAGTTCCAATGTTGGCAAGCATACAGAACATCTGGAAATCTCATATGTTCTTTCTGGAACTATATACTGATTCAATCACTTTGAATAATTGTTTAGAGTTCCTTATAAAATCAAACATGTATCCAATTAGCCCAGAAATTCCACTCTAGATATTTAACCAAGAAAACTAAAAACATATGATGATGTTAGTATCTTGAATATAAAATAACTCTTTCCATTCAAAAAAGGCTCCAATAATCAATTAAAAATGGCTAAGAAACTGAAAAGACACTTCTTTTTTTTTTTTGACACTTCTTCTAAGAAGCCTCATGAATACCCAATAAGAATATGAAAAGATGCTCAACATTGTTAGTTGTAGTGTAAATGCATACAAAAACTGCAATGAGCTAACACTTCACACCCACTAAGATGGACATTATAATAAAAGAAAAGAAGCGTTTATAAGGACAGAGAGAAAGCAAAACTCTTGTGTATTGTTGATGGGAATATAAGATGGTGCAGTCACTGTGGAACACATTTTGGTGGTTCCTCAAAAAGCTGAACACAAAATTCTATGTGATCCAGCAATTCCACTGCTAGAAATATACCCAAAAGAATTGAAAGCATCAGTTCAACCAGATACTTGTACGCTGATGGTCACACTTACATAAATCGTAAGAACTAACAAGTGAAAACAACTCAAATATCCATTGAGAGACAGGCAGTTGAACAAAATATTAATACACAATCATTATTCAACCTTAAGAAAGAACTGAACTCTGACACATGCTACAACATGGATGAACCTTGAAAATGTTATGCTAACTTAAATAAAACAGCTCACAAGGACCCATATTGTATGATTCTACTTTGAGACCCAGAGTAGGCAAATCCAGAGAGACAGACAATAACCAAAGAATAAGGCAACAGAGAAAGATGATCTATCATTTAATGGGTGGAGGACTTCTATTGTGATGATGAAAAAACTCTGGAAATGAACAGTAGTGACGGTTATATAACACAGTGAATGCACTTAATACCACCAAATTGTACACATAAAAATGTCTAAAATGGTAAATTCTATGTTATGCTATATTTTACCATAAAAAACCTGTGGAATTTGGAGTGATAAAATTAAGTAGCTGGAGCCTGGCTTGAGACATTAAACTTGCAGTAACATTACCATGGTAATGACAAGGAGCAGAGAAGAGAATATTTTTTGTGATATATTGAACTTAAATAATGAAAATGCCACTATCTATTGGAGGTAACGTGAAAGTTTGGACTTTAGTGTAGACCCTGTAGCTGAACTAGCAGATCACTTGTACGTTAGTTGTCTCTGGGTATCTATGAGGTAATGGTTCCCAGATCCCTATGGATGCTAAAATCTGCACACACTCAAGTTCTTATATAAAATGACATAGTACTTACATATGATATATATGCATCCTCCTTTAAATGACCTCTAGAGTACGTATACTTTAAATGACCTCTAGATTGCGTATAATACTTAATAGAATGCAAATGCTGTGTAAATAGTTGTACAGTTGTTTAGGGAATAATAACAAAGTTAGTGCCGATGCATATTTTAAAATACTTTTGATACTCGGTTGAATTCATGGATGTAGAAGGCATGGATGCAAAGGTCTATTTAAGGACAGAATAGAAGTCTATTCTGTTTCTAGAAAGAAATGCAAATATAGAAGAGACAGGACAAGCAATTTGTAAAATTCATGCATCTTAAGTCTGAGTCACAATTTAACATTAAAAGATCTATTAGATCAATTTACCACAAAATAAGTAGAAAAGGAGATAAAGAGATGCAAAAATATAGGGAAAAAGAATTGATGGTAATTGCTGGTGAATATTTGACAAAACTCCATACCCATTCATCATAAACGCTCATAGAAAATTAAGAACTGAGGGAAATTAACTAGATAAATGCCTACAAAAATTGACAGCAAATACACTTAAAGGTAGACATTTTAAGGCACAACCTTAAAATCAGAAATAACACAAGGACACCTGTTATCACTGTAGTCCCACACCGTACGAATGGGTTAGATAGTGCAATGAGACAAGAAAAGATAAATGACAGCTGTAAAGACTGGGAAAGAAAAGATACTACTATAGTCAAATGAGCTTACTAACGCAATAAATATTTGCTAAGCCCCTCAATGTGTCAGGTCCTCTTTAGCCACTGAAATAAACAATACAGAGAAAATTTTTTGTCATTTTAGAGAATAGAAACGTAACTGGATCAGATAGTAATAAAAAGTCCAATAAATTTTCCTTATATCTGCTCTGCTCTGTGTCATTACCATGGTAATATCGTGCAAGGTTAGTTCTCAAACCAGGATGCAACTATTTAATTTTATCACTCTAAATTCCACAGGTTTTTTACAGTAAAATAAGCCACAGCATATTTAAATATTTAAACTGTAACTTAAAAATTCATTCAAACAAATATTTTTCAACTCCCCACAGTATTGCCAGATATCATCACGATTAGGGAATAGATAACAATAACAGAAAATAGACAATGTGCTTCTTTTTAAAGGGCTCGTATTCTAGGAAGAGAGATAGTTCTGCAGATAAGTAGCTGTACAATGAGGTAGTGCTAAATTCTAAGAGAAAAAAAATAAAAGTACATGATAAGGGGGTGTTATTTTAAGTAGGGAAGTCAGGTTATATCTGTAAATTTAAAGTGGATATTATTTTTCAATGGTAAAACAAAAATAAGGTAGCTACAAATAAATGTAACAAAAAACTTTTTACACATTTATGGAAAACATATGAAATTTGATTGATGGATGTAAAAGAAGAGTTAAATCAATAGAGATATGCCTAGTTCAAGGGCATGCAGTGTCACTATTCTACAGATGATAATCCACTCAACATTAATTAATAAATCCAATGTAATTCTAGTTCAATCAATAGGTAGGAGTATATTCATGTAAAATGTAAAACAGAAAGCGGTACTAATGAAGTGTATGTGGCCCTTTACATACACAGTAAAAGTATCACGTGTGAATGGAAATAATATGCACAAATTCAACATCTGTGTTACCTTTGTGAAATGAAAGTAAAGAGACATGGATGGGAACTTTTGTTGCCCTGTAATATTTTATTTAAAATTATTAAAGGAAAATTAATTAGGCTGCAAGAAAAAAAAAGGTAGAAGAAGCCAAATACAAACTGTTCTATCAGTCGTGGGAAGGAGATTTTAAGAGGAAAGACAAACCCAAGCATGGAGGAACGAATGACTTAGGGAGGCTACAGAGAAAAAATTATTGGGAAGGGGGAAAAAGCATGTTGTAAGAATAGGAAATGCACCTGTGTAGTATGTTGTATGTATCTTTCAGTCAGTCTGAAAATGATGTACAGCAAGACTGCATGTTAGAGGAAGTGCAGCGCTCCCAGGGGCTCCACTTCAGCTAATGGATTAAGATGCTGAGACACCACCAGCCTGGAGGCTTTGGCCAATTCACGTGTCTCTGTGGAATCAGTATATCAGCCACACATCTGTTGGTCAGGACACAAGAGTAAACTAATTGCCCTGTTCCTGTCTCCTCCTTGCTTCCCAACACAGACACTAGCATTGCTAAGTCTCTAGCTAGAAAACACTATAAACCTGTGGCCCTTATAATGCCATCAAGGTGGGTCATCAGGGAACAAGTCGTTGGCACTATATTCTAAATGTAGTTACAGCAACAAGGTATGATTCATAAAGGAGAAGCAGAAGAAATCAGGAAATGTCCACATCAGGCAAAGCAAACTCCTATTTTCTTTATGTCTTTGACAATCTGACGCTTTATAATACAACATTTATGTCTACCATCATTTTTCACCAGGAATTGTTCTGATTCCGTCTGTGGGATGACTGCTAAGTTTATTGCTTAAATTCAGGCTCAATTTTATTAACTATAGTAAAGTGAAATATGCTAAAATTGTTTTTTTCCTGCTTCTCAGACAGGGAAGAAAGAAAGATTATTTTCCTCAGGAGAGGAATTCCTCGAAATTGCCTCTAAAACCATTCTACTGAAAGAATGGTACATGGTCTGGCCGCATCAACAAGACCAGAGAGTTTATTTAAAATGAAGAATCCGGTTCCACTAGCCAGCTGAATCAGAATGGAAATTCTAGTAATTTCCAGTGATCTAGTAGTCATCCCAGGTGATCTGTGTGCTATTAAAATTTTGCACAACTGTCCAGAAGATTACAAAGTGAAGGTCTTTTCTAAGCAGCAGACTCTAATCTAGTGCTAAACAGCAGAAAAGACATTTCATTTGAAACCATTCTAGACACTGTCTATCAGAATCAAGCTGAACTTTTAAAACCATCTTTATTGTTCTTGGAAACTGTTATCTTAGGCTGGTACATTTTCTAAGCAAGTCTACCCTTTGGCTAAGACGTTAGTAAAACTACGATGTGAAACAAAAATAATTCAATCTCTGTTTCTCATTACTTCACTGCAATTCTTGGACGAAGACCAACTACTTTCAAAAAGCACTCTGCAAGCATAAAGTACAATTTCTGTGAATTCCTTTAAATATCTGTTTTACAAAAAAATACCCCTCCTTTTAAGGTTTTCTTTTTCCATTCCACTTTCAGCCATAATTTCTCCAGTTTTTCTCCCTGCTCAATTTCACTCCACAGTGTCCACAATCCCAACCCTATGATTTAGAACTTGATGTGATCCATGTGCTTCCCCTAGGCTTCTCACACACCCCAGGGGAAGGTTTCTAAGAGCCCATCTGGATGTAGTTTAGATCAGGGAAGGACATTATAACTCACAGGCCTTGCGATGAAGCCCTGCTCATTATCATCTGTGCAAAAAGAAGCATCTTGCATTCTGCAAAATTCACTTTAAGAATACATTTCAAGCGCATAGCACAAAAGCAGACAAATTTAACATTTTCAGGTGAGAGAGGAAATAGCTGAGTCCTTAAGAATTCTTTTAGACAGTAATTAGATTAGGACTTAATGTTCATTAAACAGTAAAATGGGTGCAGCTTGCTGCGTTTGTACTCAGAGAGCTCAGTGTTGTCCACTTAGATTTATTTGTGAAGCGTAATAGAAGACATTTTGGAAATGACAAATACTGGGAGAATTAACATTCAATAACCTTAGGCTGGGGATTTAGCTCAGTGGCACAGCTCCTGCCTGGCAAGTGCAAGGTCATGAGTTCGATTCCTGGTACCGGAAGAAAAACAAAAAACAGAACAACAGCAAAAAATAATATTCAATAGCCTTGTGCTATCCAGTATATTTTAAATTTGACATCTTCTAATGGTGGTTCTACAAGTTCATTAGCATCTTTTGAGGTTTCAACTAAACAGGTTGAATGCTGCTTCATTAGTAATTTGCCACCAACTTGGATCTTATGTATCTTAAATATTTCTAATATCCACCCGGGTTCCTAGCAGCCACTGAGCATTAGAGAGGTCCACAGTACGGATGTGGCAGGGACCGAAAAGAAAAAGACCAAGTAGAGAAGTTATTTCACTTGTGAAGTTTTGAGGCCTGGTGAGGATGTGAAGGGCCTTGGAATTTATTATAAGAAAAATCACCTTATTCTTCATTGTATATAAAGGATCTTGCACATGCTGACTATGTGCTGAGCGTGTAATAGGGTTTCCTAAGCATTTGCTGAATACAGGAATAAATATACGTAAGGTGATTGCTATACTGAGAGATTGGTCCTCGTATAGAATTTTGTGCTTTTAGTAAACACCAAGACAAACCAAAACCTCCCTCCCACACAGAAGCTTAAAATTGCAGTGGCTTTCAGGCAAGCAGAGGGTGTCTTCTTAGCACAACGCCTCTTGCACTCTGAAGAAGCATTCTCTGACTTACGGATTAAAGAAAACAACTTAAGATGTTTGAACTTGCTCCACCGACACGACTGCTGTCTTATATTTTTATGAGTATTCAATGGAAAGATTGGCATGTCTAGGAGCAAGAGGCAGACTGTTGAATAAATAGGCCCGTATCCCATAAACACTTCTCTCAATATTATGTCACTAATAAATCAACACAGAATTAGCAATTCCTACCACAGCCAAGTAATATATAATAAAGTATGGTGCCGAACGTTTAATTCAAAATGCCAACTTAAAATACCAAAGTATCATCTCTCTGTATTTGTTAACCATCCATTACCAAAGTAGCGTGACATGAGTACCTCCCTAATGATTGATTGAAACATCCCATTCATATGCCATGTGCTTTTTATATTTACTTCCGGGAAATACAATCATTGTTATTTAACTTCACCTACTACTCGAATATGTAAGATGCTATTGTTAATTCCATATCTACAGTCCATATTCAAAAGGTATTTGAGTTTGAAAGGGATTTTACAAATCAACCACTAAGTTCCAAAAACCTTCCAAGATCATTCTTCTGACAGGGAAAGAAAGAAAGGGGGATTAGGTGAGGGATAAGATATATAGGTACAAAAATATTCTTAACTGACACAAGAATTTTTCGACTGGAAGAACTTGAAACCTGCCTAATTCCAAAAAAAGACAAAATTATTTTACTCTGACCATGAATATTCTATAAATTTATTCACCAAGAGCTCAAGAATGTATTTCTGGTAGTGTTAAAGCAGGACTCTAGAACCATTTTTGAGAGAATCTTCATGCTATTTATAACCCAAACTATGCCTAAAACATAGGAAATTTGGAAAAAGACTTCCAAAAGTTCCCACCATATTCTCTTTAGCAGTTGCTTGGACACATATGCTGTTGGTTGTTAATCCTATTAGTAACAGAGCTTCCTTCCTACAGATTCATTAGCACCGAAACAATATACCATAAAAAAGGATTTACATAAAAGACAGCTGGACCCGGTTGCCAGGGGAACTCATAATGTTCCAGACACATTCCACTCTAGGGGGATAAACGTCAGGATAGCCAGGGGTCTCGAAGATGCCTTCAGCCATGTGGAAGTTTCCACCACAAACTAGAAGAAAAGAGAAATAAATAGAATGTCAGAGTACAGATCAAAAGCGCGAGATCGCAATATAAAGTAAGAACATTAGAGCCATTATCCGCATCCAAGGATGCAGCACTTCCTAAATCTGTACCATGTTAAGAGAAATGTTCTGAAACCTGAAAACCAAGACCCACAGAGTGCAGTGGACCAGAAAGAATCTCTGCAGTGTCCTCCCCAAAAGCCTTTTCTCCCTGTGAACTCTAACTTTAGGTAAAAAAAAAAAAAAATTGTTTTTAGTTCTACAACCACTTGGTTTTTCTGACCAGCATTATCTTCAACTCTGACCTAGAAGGGATGGCAGTAGTCCAGCTTCTTCCTCTAGGGGAACACCAAAACGCATGCCGCCTGCCGTTCTTCAGCTTTTTACTAACATGGAAGCTGACAGCTAAAAGCTCCTCCTGTCTAAGAAACCCAGGGCTGGTGGTTCCGCTCTCCCCTCCTCCCCATGTCACCATCCAGACCCTGCCTGAGCCCAGCAGCAAGGCCCAGGCGATGGGGGAATTGCCGTGTGGTTGTTCATCCGTAAGAGACGCCATCAGATGGTGGCAGTCAGGGGCCACCTTAGCAAACAAATCATTCCGACATGGCTAAGCAAGTCATGTGAGATCATGAGATTCTCTAAAAACTCAGCCAGGTTTCCAGCCCGTTTTCTCACTTTTCTCACAATAGAGTTTTCTATTGTTAGAATTTCCATGTTCATCTAATCGGGAAGAAGATAAAATTAGGCACAGGGGTGATTTCAAGAAACTAGCTCCCAACTTTGGAGGTGAAAGAGTCCCAAATAATAAACCAAGGGTTCACCCACAGGCTGCTGACTCGGTAGCCATTTGCTCAGGTTTCTTACCTGATGTTGATGCAGCATATAGCGCATGAAACCCAGTGTAAGTGCTTCCATAATCAGAGACGAACCTCAGTGTCAGCGCTCTGCCGAAGGACGTGATGGGATAGGGCATGGAGGAACCACAGTAGTGGCCTAAGGGGTGAAAGTAATGACAAGGAGAATAAACCATGAAAGGCAGAGGCCGTAAACACATCTACCAAAATTACAAGAGAACCACCGGTTCAGAAGAAATCTTTATTAAGAGAACCATTTAGTTAGTGTTAGTTTTTCAAAGAATGCCTGAGAGTTCAAAGTAAGCTCAAAATACAAGTATTGGAGAGGTGATTTATATGATAAAGAACAGAGGGGAAATTTACATGATCTGGCTCCAAAAGTAACTGAAGTCCAACTTTAGTAAAATCTCCAACACAGGATGGACCTGCCCAAATAAATCCACTAATGCTCACCAACCTCAGGATAATGCAGTGCAGTAAAGTGCAGCTGTTGGAGCCAGAGGACCCAGATTCAACTCCTGGTTCTGCCACTCACTAGCTGCGTGACTTGGGGCAAGTTAAGTGCTCTGTGCCTACTTTTCCTCATGTGATAAAAGGATACATTAAAAATAATAAAACCTATGTCATAAGAGCATAAGGAGTGCATTCCCATTTATAAAGTGTTTAGAATAATAGCACAAGGCAGTGCTACACAGACGGTTACTGAATAACTCATCCCCGTCCTTGGTCACAGGCTCATGGACAAAGGCCTCAGGAAATACCAGGGGAGATGTGCACGGAGTATGCAGTGCTCACTGGCTGCCTCACTGGCTGCTCTGTTCCGGGCACCAGGAATAAGGCAATAAGTGACGCAAAGTCTCTCTTTTTTGGCCCAGCCTGTCTTCCCGTACCATATGAAAAGTTTGCGTGCAAACCTCAGAAACTACTAAGTTGATGGCAAAACTCATTAGTCCTGAAATTATCTTGCTTGAAAACATTTTAGAAACTACAAATGAGCACATTTGAACTTCACTGGCAGGTCTAACAGACAAAAGGACAGATTTTTAATCTAAGTAATTAATTTTTTTTTTGCTTTGACTGAAGACAAGAAGAAATATGCTTAGTTTGAATACAAGAACTTTTTTCAAGTATTGACAAGAAATTTCAGAAAGAATTTTATCTAAAGCTGGAACAGACTTCATCCCACTACTATCTCACTTGCAACTCTTAATTCTTTTAAAATGCACGCACACTGCTTATGTGCTTGAATATAAACATGCCGAGTTCTCTGAACCCCGCCTTAAATCCTGCTTTTTCACCCTCTAATTATATTTCCTTGGCTTATGCTAACCTTGCATTTGTGCTTGTTTTTTGCACATGGACATCCACTGGTTTTGTTGGGTATATCTTTTTTTTTTTTTTTTTCCAGTACTAGGAATTGAACTCATGACCTTGTGCTTGCCAGGCAGGCGCTGTGCCGCTGAGCTAAATCCCAGCCCAAAAACATTCTAACCTTGGATGGCAGTATGTAAATATGCAGGTATATAAATACACACAGCCACAACCACAGATGTAAATGAGGGAATGCCACAGTACCTCGGAGGGGTGCGTCAGAGCTGCTGCCATCGAAAATTTCTATAAAGTCCCGTGTACATCCCATACTCGGTTGAAGCCCGAAGTGGGTAAAGGAGAGAGTAATATGATTGACTGTAAGAAAAAAAAAAGGGAGGGGGAGACTACTTAATAAACTGGCAAACAAAAAATACAAGGAAAAAATTTTACCTCTGTTAATTTCATATGAGGGTTTTTTCAAGTAAAGAAGTAAGGAATCTGGCAGATCTGTGTGGAATGGATGAAGACAGGGAAGGGCACAACTTCTACGCTAACGGACTTCCCCCGAAGTGGCTGAAAGGTTAACAGAATCCATAGCTTTGAAAATGCCTGTAGGATCTGAAGAGCTGGTAATAAACAACAGGATGTGAGAAAGTGTTGGTGGAAAATAGTCATCTTTACGTGCTTTCATGTCAGTCACTGCTGGGTCCCTCTCAAAGCATTAGTTCTGAAAAGAGCAGATGCTGTATTTCAGACTCTCCACAAGTCCTTGTAAATAAGGCCTTCTTTTCCCCAGGGTGCACACATCCTAGCACAGCCAGGTTTATGTGAAAGTCACAGCTAGCGCCCTAGAGGTTCCCCTTTACCAAGAAAGTTTTGAATTACTAGAACAGCAAGTGCCTGGGTACATTTTCACTTTTGTCATTCTTCCAGGGCACCTAATCTACAGAACAAGATCTTTTCCTGTTACTGCCCTTGAAGCAGTGAGATCATTCACCTAAATGCTTTACAACTCATTCGAAAAGTAATCTTGAGGCACAAAACTGCTGGGAGCAAGGCAGGGGGCTTCTTTATGTACCTCTCATTTAGAGCTCTGCTTTCTCCATCTGTAATAGCTAAGGATTACGGCCCCACATATTACCATGTGGGTAAAGATTCCACCACTTTGCTACCTCTTAAAGTCACTGGGAAAAGGGTTAGATAATATTTAAGGTGAACTTTTCATTTTGTAAATTATTTGTACTGCAGGCTGATTAGGTTAATTGACTTGCCTGTTTTTATACAGGTCATGAATTGTAGAGCTGAGTGAAAACTCAAAGAGTTTCCCGGATTATGTCTGAAATCATGAATTTTCCCTGAAAGCCTCAAAAGAGGGCAGGTCTCAAATAAAACGGAATTCACAGTTGCCCTAGGATCACTTTCCATGGAGCCTTTTTGCTGTGTCCTTCGAGGTCGTCTCCTCCTTTGCTCTGCTGGTAAAATGTGGACAGTAACCCTTATAATCAGACCATTAAACAGTTACCAGGTCAGAAAGTAAGATTCTAGGATTTCAAAAAGAAAAGAAGTGCTATTGCTTCTTCCAGGCTTCTGCTGGATTTCTTAAAATGCATATGTTGTAGAGGAGACCAAGTTTTATTAGAGTCCACTTTGCTTGCATACCAAGGGGCATGTGGCATTGCACTCGCTGGCTGTGAGGGATATTTTTCCAGCAACTGTCCTGAGAGCCTACTACACTCAAAACACACATGTCCATTATTTTTGCTGATGCCCAGTCTCACGTTTGTTGTGCTGTGTGTATGTGTGTGCATGTGTGTGTGTGTGTGTGTGTGTGTGTGTGTGTGTTTGTGTTTACTTTCCTTTGCTAGGTTTTGCAACTAAAAAAAAAAAAGAATTATGTAAGGACAAAACAGTAAAAATTACTTCCTTATAAGACTAGGAAATGCTTAGGACTTTTAAACAAAGAGAAAGGTACAGCAATTGTTGCCACTGAAAAGATAAGAACATTACTCACAGGACTTTCCCATGAACACTATCTATCCTGGATGCCTTTCCTCTTTTATGTTTGTTACTTACATGGAGGTTGAGCTTCAATTATCCAGCTGCAGTTCTGATTGTTTGGATAGTTGGCAGGGTACAATGGAGAGGAAATAGTATCAAAAGAGTTGGTGAGGAAGTAGCCTCCACAGACTGCGGAAGACAAACATATGTATGTGTCATATACTTGTGATTTCTACTGATGGTACCAAACAATTATTTGATAAATAAAAACATAAATGATTTTTAAAAATTTCTGAAATGCATGCCAAGGAAGTCCTCTGCCAAGGAAATTGCACTTAAACCATCAGAAAATGGGAACACACCTAACACTAATAACAATTTTCTTCAATTACAGGAAGTAGGGAAATGGCACAGAATAGCAGATTAAATGGCTATGAGTTGCCTGAATCATTCCAACAGAACTCTGGCCTTCATTCACTTACTCTGTCCACTCACAAACAAGGAGCTTAAGAATAATCTGTTTATAAATGATCTATTTTTTTCAAGAAAATAATTGCTCATCAGAGTAGGACTTAGTAAGAACAACTACATATTATCAGAGAAGCTGCTGAGATCTGTGAGAGTCCAGGAGACAGAGAATATGGCGCCACTGGTGAGTCTAAGAGGAGTCTCTCAGGAAGACTGTGGACAGAGGAGGAGGTGGAAGATGGGAAGGGTTGGACCAGGGAGGGAGAGGCCGGAGCAAAGGTGCTTAGGAGATGCCTATACAGATGAGACTGAAGTGCCCAGGGCTGGTGGTGTGTTGGAGATCGTGTTGGAAAGTTGTTTTCAGGTCCTTGGTTGACACCCAGAGGGATTGCGCTTCATTTTCCAGTCCGTGTGGTGATAGGATAGACATAAGTCCTCAGTGGCGCAATCAGAGTGAAGTTTTACAAGTGCCCTTGGAGGAAGATGGATGAGGGTGGGTGAGTTTGAAGAGGTTGTTACAACCATCCAGCTAAGAGATAGTGGGAACATTTTACTCTGAAGCAATATCTTTGGCAATAATTAAATGTAAAATGAAAAAAAGCACTAAGAAACTTTTCTTTCCTCAAAAATCATTGAGAGTGACTGATAAAAATATAGTCTGTCTTGCTCCAAATTTATAGCTTGTGTTTGGGAGCTCTGAATCCACATACCATTCCTCCTGAGGGCTCTTCCTGAGAATACCAGCAAGTCCACTGAGCTGGATGTAATGACTAAGAAGATTAAACATAATGGGAGGTTGATTTTGCATGCTTGTGTCTGGTGGTCTGAGCAACTGATTTGAAGGTAACAATATGCAATGGAATTACAATGGTGAACTCCTACCTTCTTGTCTAGTGAAATTCTGTGTTATCGCTAATGCTTTATTGAAGAATTATTTTCTTATTCCCTATAATGGTTTGAGCAATCTTCCATTCTTACATCCGGTAATCTGAGCAACATAGTTGAGGATAGTGATATGTAATATAACAACCACTGTTAATTCATATTATTTTGTCTTGAAACCCGGTATCACTTTAAATGTTCTTCTTTGATTTGTTTATGTTCGTGATACTGGTGTGCTGCTACTGTTCTATTTTCTGTTTTTTTTGTTTCTCATATACTACTCTCTTTAAAATTAAAAAAAAAAAAAATGTAATGGGAGTGAGTGATCTGAGCTACCCAGGTAGAAATCATCACCACATAGAGCTTTGAGTTCCTTCTATGTCTGACAGTTGCCTAGAAAGGATTAATGTCTGACAAAGACCAAATAAATGAAAAGCAATGGGCAAATAGTTTATGAAGGAAAAAATCAGGAAACAAAACAATGGTAAACAGCCCTGATTCCTCCATGGGACAACGGCAGGATTCAGAACTGAGAGACATGAGGGGTTAGACTGGGGCACTACAGTATGGGAGAGTTTTATACTGTATAGTGGTGTATCTCCTTGAAGCATAAAACCTGGGGTAAGTGATAGTAACTGTTTTTGGATAAAAATGTGTTTATACTGTTTCAAACATTAAAGGCACCTTCAAGTCTTATTCTGAAAACTTTGAGAGTGTGCAATGTGTTTTAGAGATACGAAGATCCAAAGGAAGTCAGCATCATGTCAGTTAGACAAGGATCAAGTTAAAAGTATCAACAACTGGAGTACCTGTTAGGTCATATTTATATTTAACATTTGCATTTAAGTAGGAGCTGTGATTGGCTTATTGAGATTTGGTCTCATTTTATCACAGCACCAAAAAGGGCATTTAACAAAATTTCTCCTGTGCTCAGAGAGACCTGCAGGATACTTGCCTTGCCTGAATCGGGCTAGGAAGCCCCTGTTCTGTCTGGAAGCCCCAGACTGGAATCTCACATACAGGCTGTCCCCCGAAGAGGTGATGGGGTTACTTAGCTGCTGTCTTCCACACACACTGGCCAGGCGGGTGGTGGTTGTAGGACTTACGCCGTCATATGTCTACAAGGATAGAACACAGAGAAAACTGGCTCAGAACTTCAGATCTACAACTGTGGAGCTCCTATTCTGGGTACTGAAGAGCTAATAGAAAACCACACACTTGCTGGACTTGGTGAACTGGCTTTATTTTATTGTCTTGTCACACAGTTCCATGAGAATAACTTGGTCTTTGTTTATTTCCAGAGACTCTTACAGAGCTTTTTACAGGAGTCTCGCTAGGACGCATGTCTCCTCCAGTCTTTGCACGTGATGTCCCTTTCACTGCCCTCCTTCCTCCTCTGACTTCAGTATAGCCCACACCCGTGACACATACTGAAAATGTTGGGTGCAAGAATGAACATAGAAACAAATAGTTGAGAAATAATAATGAGTGATATTTGTGGTCAGAAACTCAAATTTTATTGGAACTTTTTGCTATTCACAAGCTCAAGGTCAAAAAGCAAGAAAAATGGCAGAATCCTCTCAGTGATGTGAGCAGTATGAGCCTGATTTAGGAAATCATCTTGTTTTGTTAACATATTGGGCTGTGTTTCTGCCTAGTACTCTGCTGGGACTTTTCCAGCCCTCCATAGAGGCCAATGGAACAGAGTTTACATTGTGTATACTTGAAATCTCTGGATCAGTTTGTGAAATTGAAGCTTAAGCATCTGCTTGGGATTCTGCATCTAGTAGGAATTTCTGAATGCATTTATGATTAAACTGAGGAGAAATGATTTCCTTGTCTAAGAGAGTTACCATTTATTAAGTGCTTACCATGGACCTAAAACTGGATTCAGTCCTTCACACAATCTGTCCCATTTTCACCTTCCAACCTTCTTTTTTAAGAAAAAGAAAAACAGATGCACAGAGGCCGTAAGTAACACGGCCAAGTTGCACAATTCCTAAGAGGGAGTGGGTGCCACTGAGCCAAACTAGATTCTAGAACTGAAGTGCTTTCATTTCGGAGAAAGCAAGGTATCAATTCAGTGGGATAGATGTATCACCCTGCCAGCAACCACAGGAAGGCTGAAAGTATGAAATTAATGTATGGTTATTTCATTCAAAGCATTCCATTTATATTTTATAAGAAAATCTTGGGAAAAAGAGAAAGTTCAGCAATTTAGGTATTCACAAGTAACTTACAAGTAACTTAAAATGTCTAATATTTACAGTTAATGTTCTCTATCACACAAGTATGATGGGGAAGCTATTTTTAGTTTGATTTATACAAGTACATGAATCGAATATCAATAGGATTTTAATTCTCAAAGCAGGAGATAAAGCTGTTATGATAATGATTTTGAAAGAATTTTGATTCTGAAACAATATTTTCCATCTTTTTTTCTTTTTTTAATGTAATATTCACATTTTAAATCTACAGATCCAATACATAAAGCTTTAAAATTGATTTTTGTTCAGCAAAGATTTTCCATGTTCACCACCACTAACTTAGACATAGCCAAAACAACGTATAAGCCATTATTTATTACATTCTACATTACTACATTCACACTTCAACCTCATCTCAGAGAGTGCCATCATTGGCTTAACTCATATCTTCATTCTATTTCAGATAACATAAAGTATTTTATGATTTCCTAAGCTTATGATGCACACCATTTTTAGTCTTGTCTATTTTTCCCCAAATGGAGAAGTCCATTGCATAAGCAGATATTATTTCTTCTTTTTCTAAGCCCTTGTTTTGCTCTTAAGTAGATGAAATTCTTTCAGAAGAAAAAAGGAAATAATGTGGAAAAGGTAAACTAGAAAAATAAAGGTTAGAAATATCAGAAAGTCACAGGAATGAGCCATTCTTCTGGGTACCCTATCACATGGACACATCTAGGAGGTCTGCAGACTTCCAAGCACCCTCTGTTGGGTCCTTGTATCTTAGGACTGCTGCTAAAATTCACTGGCTGGCTATTGCTTCACAAAGAATGGACCCAAAGATGGTTTTCAGCTGTCTTTGAACTGAGATTATATACCAATGGCACACCAAACCTATGAGCATGTTTTACATTTTACATGCACCAGCACGAATACGCTAATCTAGTTTGCATTGCCAGGTGATTTTTATTGCAATGAAGAAACTGAGACAAACATGCTAGCCATTAAACTATTACCTTATCCAGTGTAAACTAGTAACTAATACACAATCACACAGCCAGTGGGCAGCAGTCTTTTCTTGCCAAATTCTGTATTACATTATGTCATTTCTCTTTAAAATGCATGGGATAGTTATTAATTTCTATATAACTAATTGTCACTTATGACACTTCAAAACCTCAAGCTATTAATGTGGCAGGTTTTTAAAATTGCATTTGGAATATTGATTCTCTTTTGAGAGTAGCACTTGTAATAATAAGCCAGTATTATCACATTTAAAGTTGAATTGGCAAAGTTACAAGAAAATAATATTAAGGAAGAAAATGTGGGAAACTTTGTTCCTATTTAAAATTCTAAAGTCATGAAAACTTTAAACATGAATTTTAAATGTGAAATCAATATGCATTTTCCTTCACTTCCGCTTAGTTCCTAAGGCAGAGATAGCAAATTATATTACTATTGGGTACACAGATAATGTATTCATGTCATTTACATAATTTTTACTTAAGTCGACTGCCAAGAGTTTTCTAGGTCTGGGAATTGATTTTCCAACCTGTTCCTTAAGTAGTAAATGTCAGAGCAATATACAAACAAAATAAGGGAAAACTTTATACATACTAACTTGCTCATTTCTGTGACACTAATAGAATAAAATTTTGAAATCAAGTCCACTAAAGAAAAAGTAGTCACCCTATTGCGGAGTTCCAATTAAAGCAGCTCTCAGAAAACAAAACCAGAGCTGGCTAAATGTAATCTAATTCCTAAAGGAAAATTCATTAGTTCCTTTAGAAAGTATCCAGAGTTTTATAAAACTTCAAGATACTCAAACATTCAAAAATGCCAAAATTTAACTGTATCACAAAGAAATAGAAAACTTTTAAAGTAGAGAACCTGGCACATAATAAATGATAGCTGTTAGATGCACAAATGAATAAGTGACACACATATGATGGCTTATGGTCTTTAAGAACAGAGTACAGTAGACCCTTGATTTATGAACTCAGTTCATTCCTGAGGGCTGGTTGTAACTCAAGTTGTCAACTGAAGGCTCAGGCTGCTCTACATGGCCGTCAAACTCTCTCTTCCGTACACCGGCAGATCTCAGTGTCCTTAGAGAGACCCAGGATTTCTCAATTAACCCCACCCAAGAAAGGATGCTGCAGTGTTCCTTCCAGAACTCTTTAAGGGTTAAATCTGTATCTGAGCCATCTGTAAGCACAAGCAGCCCGCATTCAGGTCAGAACTCAAGACTTCGGTCATAAGTTAAAGCTAAAATTCCCGTCATAACTCAAGTTGTTCATGTGTCAGGCTCGTTGTAACTCAAGGGACCACTGTACTGGGTTTGAGGGCAACCCTGAGTTAAGAAAAAGTTCTCATTTCCCTCATGGGGTTGACTGTGCAAGCACTTGGCAGGCACAATGATGGGTAGGAGGCCACTCACAGTGGGAAGGAGGTCAATTGTGGCTGCACTCTAGGTAGTATTTCTGCATGCTTGCCCAAAGAACAGGTGGAGGGTACCTAACTGCACGGTACAGCCAAGCCCACTTACTCAGTTTCACCCACACGATGAGAGGAGGTGGAGACAGAGGATGAGCTGACAGCATCAGCCTTATCCTGAGGTCCATCCCATTCTGAACACGTGACATATTATGAGCCTGTACAGCCCTCCATATACTACTATCCAAAAGGGAGAACTAAACCAAAGCTTATGAGTTCTCACACTTGACATTTCAATTCCTGGAGAAGATTTAGGTAAAAGTCAACCATTGCCATGGTTAACCCTTATCAACCTTGTCACACATCGAGTGACATGGCGAGTAAAACCATTTATGTGGGAAAGTGATGTTTATAGTTTTGAAGGGTCCTAAGTTATGCAGTTATAGTTATGCAGGGTCCTAAGGAATAGTAAAATGCAAAATAAATGAGCCAAACAACAAGAATATTTTACCTTCTTATGAACATATTGATGATGAAAATATGTATTATTTAAGAGTTTGTACTATTTAAGAGGTGGTAGTAGAATTCATTCTAGAGACAAAAATTGTCTTTATTTAGAGAAACACTTTCATAGGTTTTTAGAACATGAGCACAATAAGAACTTGAGCATGTAGAACTTTTATGCTGTTGGAGCCAAGTTGCTCTCCTTTCCATGCTTCTTACTATGTTGCTCAGTTTTCTAGTCTGTAAAATGGGACTGATAAGAGTACACAGTTCATATTATTCATGAAAATTAAAGTAGTTAAAAGATATAAAGTGCTTAGCAAAGTTCCTGGCATAATGTAGATATGTAATAGATATTAGCCTCTACTACTAAAATGAGCCAGAAAGCTAAGTTGTTACATAAAGAAATTAGGTGGGAAACTATGAAGTCAAAAAAATAAATTAGTACAGGAGTAGAATGTTTAGCAAAACAGATGAAATAGGAGCCCCAGTGGAAGACATAATCAATAAAAATTACCTAGCTGGAGATGGTGAGCTGGTAGGGTGATAGGCAATGTTTGATATGCCTCTGAAAGATTCCCAACTCTTAGTGTTGTGCTTCTGTAATTTCTTTCTCAAGTATGAGAGAAAACTAATGACTTGCTTTACATTAACAAGAGTAGAGGAAAAGGTGATGGGAATAGGTTTTCCATGGTTAGAATACAAGAGATGCTCCTCTCTCTCTCTCTCTGAGGACTCCATGGCCAGGTGTCAAGGGAGGCCTCCGAGCAACAACCTGAATGCAGATGAATTCTGCCAATAACTATAAGAGAGAGCTAGGAAGGAGCCAGGTGAGCCACCTCTGGATTCCTGGCCCATCAAGACTGTAAACATGGCTGTTTTAAGTTATTATGCTTTGGAATAATTTGTTCCACATTCACAGATAACTAAAACAGAGAATGTGAAATGAAGGACTGAGGGGAAAATGGGCAAAG